TCCTGCTCACTGTTGGAGCATTTCTAGACAAGCCATGACAAAAATGCACAGGTGTATGCATGAAGCATTTACCAGTGCATGAATAACTGCAGCTGAAAAAGATAACCATGAATAATCAGAAGGTTTGTACTGATCTGTAAAGGCTTCAAAGTTCTGTGTTGGCAGCTGCAGAGATGCAGCAGCAGCGTTTCCACATCCAGCTGGCAAGACACCATGGTCAAAGCGTAATATGAGTCTAGCCTAAAAGCCCTGTAAATGACCACCGTGCTTTGTGCATCCTCTCTATGCTGTGATTCTCATAATCGGGTGTAAGCCGAATGTAACATGAAAATATGCAAAATGCAAATGTCCAAAAAGCTAATGCAGTTTAAATCCGCATTTATCCACCTTTAATCTACTCTTTCTTCTCCACAATCCAAACAATCCTGTACATATTTGGTCGCAGCAGAGGTTCCTCCTTCCTGGTGTCCTGATAGTAGAGTCACATATGCTGCTCTCAGCTAGAGCAGGTGGCTTTCCTAACCATCCCCGCATACGGTAGATCTTTATCCATCAATTCTTCTGTAATTCTCACCATCTATTCATTCATCACTGTGACACCCTCACTTCTGATGGACTGCACCCTTTTGGAAAAAGATTATTTGCTATTGAAGGAGTTTCTGACTTTGCCAAGTTATAATGTCATAGAGGCAATAGCTGACATTATTATTAGTGATTATCTGTTCATATCTGAGCGATTATTCACTGGAGCAAATACAAAACATTGACATTCATTCAGGGCCATGTGTCTTCTCTAGCTGACAACCCTTGGTCACATGATCCATCACCCATTAGCACAAAGACAGACATCTATTGTGGCTAATTGTTGAGCAAAGCTTGCTGTCCTTCTATGGTTCTACCCCAGATCTGTTGGGTGAGAGGTGCAACTTGGACATTATGAGCAATGATTTAGAGAAATGTAAACAAAATAACAGACAAAACCATTAGTAACTGTAACTGTTAAGTTTAAGATAATTTTAACACGCAACACTAAAATGTTTAACCCTCTATAGGGTAATTTATCGTTTTTGATCACTTGCATACCCCTTACAAATGGAGTCCCCCCTCCCCCTGTCACTCAGTGAGGTTCAGAAGCACAAGATCTATATTCAGCCATTCAGCAAAGATACTTCTACATGGCTGAACATCTTATTTTGTCATTTGACCAATTAAATGAGCCTTTGAATGATATATTACCTACTTTAAGTTAAGTTGAAAAAAATGTTAACAAGTCAAGAAAAAAGGTAAAAAGCTAACTGAAAAGTTAAAAGTAAAGATAAAAAGTTAATAGTTTATATTTTATATAAAGTTAAGTTTATATTAAGGTTTATGAATTAAAAAATTAAGTGCCAGTATCAGCATTAATGCCTCTAAGGTTATGTTTTTCCAAAAAATATGTTTCTTTCCCTCTGAGTGTTTTTTAACGAATTTTTTATAGAAGCACTTTAGTTATTTTTCTTAATATATCCGGGAAAGTTGGTGTTTCTTGTTATTACACTGACATTAATTTTTGCTATCAAAATATCCATGTCATTTGAATGTAACAAAGATAATATGGTCTTGTCCTGGATTCCAATAACACTATTGGCCTGAAATTTAGATTTTGTATTTCACAGAATTCCCTATAAAAGGTTTACACCTAGATTGAAACGTGCTGCTCCACAGTTATAAAGCTCTTTTGACACTTTATAACAATCATGGTTTTTGTTCTGTTTAAGTTTTATCTTTGAGTTTCATGGGTTTGTTTTCCATTTTGTGTTATTGTAGTCATTTTGATTGTATTTGAGTTCTTAGGTATTTCTTGTTTTCCCTCTATTACCCTCCTGTGTCTGCCTCCTTTTCTCTAGCTCCCTTCTAGTCTCCTCTGTTCACACCTGCTCCCAATCTGCTGATTAGCTTGGTCTTTGTTTCTCTCTCCCGTATATGCACCTCCTGCTCAGTTACTGTTGCTTTTTTGTTGCAATTTCATCCCCTTCAAGTAAGTTTTCCTGGTTTTTCTTTATTTTTGTGGATTCTGAGGATTTATGTTTTGGGATTTTTGCTTCTCTTGCCCTTTTTGGTTAATTGAATCTGCAAGTAACCAACTTCAGCTTCAGTGTCTGCATTTGGGCCCTGTAAAAGCTCCACCCCACCGCGACAATAACAGCTCCCAATAGTGTCTAAAATAATAAAGAAGCAACTAAAAGGTTTATATGGAGGCAAAACATATGCAAGTGTCGGAAACTTAAGAAATTTTTTCAAAGAGTTTCTAAGTTGAATTCTCCCAAAGAAATTACATTAAAAGAACCAATGTTTTTTTTTTTTTTTATGATCGTTACCTTAAAAACTATTTTATGTTTTGCCTCACTTCAACACTGAAACATTCTAATAAATAGGATCTGACCATTAATAGCTCATATTTAAAAAGTTATATTAAAATTGGCAGCTTTAAACCTTTTTTTATTATGCTGGATTTGGAGCACACTTTCTCTTTAGGTTTCGAAAGTTGCAGATGAATGCCTTTTTATTTAATGTAAAACATGTATGATGACCACCTTCTTGGTAAATACATGGTATTAAGAAATAAAGAATCCAGAGAATCTTGATCAGCAGAGGGATGACTTTTAGGTTAAATTTAGTTGGCATATAACTTACCCAGTGGCGCCCGAGCTTCATGCCCCTGTCATCTTTTTTTTCCACTCTATGAAAGTGACTAAGGCTCCCATCTGAGCCCAAAGATGCATGAACATAAACAGACAGTGGATTAATTTCCTCCTCTAATGACATTTATGATATGACATGGTGTAACGAGGGACAGATTGCTGAATGATGGTAATTAATGACGTGATATTTGAAATGTTTTTATCGGAAGTTTCTGGAGGATGTGCAGCAGCTCAGCAGAGCTGTGTGCTGCAAAGCCTCTCTAGATCAGAATGGCCGCTTTTTAATTAACCGAACCTCCGCAGAGACTCGGGGAGCGTGGGAAATGTGCGACACACAAGCACGCGTTGACACATTTAGAAGATGAAATGAGGAGGTGTTGAAATATGAAAACAGATTCTGAAGTGCAAAAGTTTCCATACTTAATAAGCTTTTTAAATTATCAAACTTTCTCATAGGTATTTAATGCCATAAATAAAGATTAGATAAGATTGATGGTGCAAGTTGGCCTCTCTGCTCAAATTATTTTCATATTTGCTTCTACCCTCCTTAAGACAGTCACAAAAAGATATTTTTTTCAATTTTCTGTGCAGAAATGGCACAAATGTCAGTTTAGAAAAAAAAAAAAAAATCCGTAAACCTTAGTTTTGCAGATTTTGCCTTATATTCTTAGTTGGGATTTGACTGAACCCTTCCTCTCTGACCCAGAAAACTGGATGCTGCATTGTTTATGTAAATGTATGTTTTGGGTTGACCTGCCTAAAGAAATTGACAGGAATTATTATGGATTTTTTATTCAGCACTCCTCTACAAAGGTCAGATATGTGCAATGCATAACTGATAGTCGGTCATATGGACAGATTCTGGCTGAGCCGTGGATCTATGCAGCTCCTGTCAATTTAGACAAAAATGTCTTGAAATGTTTACAGCTGCGCTGAACTCCTTCAGATTTCAATGTCGACTCATGAAAGGTTCAAAACAGGATATTATTTTAGAACCTAAATCTGTTTTAACCTCTTGATGGGGTTCTGGCTGGCCATGCCATCAGAACATTGTTGTCTAATGTTCTTGAACAAACATCAGAGGCCTTCAGAGAACAGCTGGATTTATATTACCGTATTATTCCACACTTTTTTAGAGTTTTCTTTGCAGTGTTTTTTAAAACCTTGTATTACTTCAGGATACAATGTACTTTCATAAAAAATACTTATAAAATAAGTACGTCTGGTTGTGACTTGACAAAATGGAAAGTTTAACGTTTGAATGATGCTGTAAAAATCTTTGTAAATTTGTCATCTTTTTTGTGTGAATTAAACGTTTGAATTTAGTTATAATCAAAATGATCAAAATCACTGAGACCAGACAGGCAGATGCCGAAACCGACATCTGTCAACCCAATGCTGATATGCGCTGCATATATTTTTTATGATCGATTTTTGAAGCTGATATCACTTTTTCTTTCTGGTTTTATATGATAAAAATTATGATAATAAATGTCAAACAAGCCTAATTTTAAACAAGAATAAACACTTTTTAGCAAATTAGAGAAAACATGAACAATGGATTTCAGAAGAAGGAAAGGGCAAAACATGAGCTTCAGGTGATCTCAAAGCATGGCTGCAGAAGGCAATAATGAAAACATGTATGACTGAACAAGAAAAAAATGTAAATATCAAACTAAAATACCTGCTGCCCCATGTATCCGTCTCTCTCGAAAGGTATTTTCAGGTATTTTCTGATAATTATTAAAAGAAAAATTACCCTCTCTGGTCTATAAATAGCCGACACACACGTTTGCTTTGAGAGCAAATGTCATCCTTATTCATGTTGGACCAAGCAGAGGGGCAGCATGTTTGTTGTGGAAATAATAAACCCATGAGCCTGTGTGGCTAACCTAAGGGATGAGATTAGTATCTGTGAAATCGCAGCTGATTAGGTTGCATTTGTGTCCTAATTTATGGGTCCCAGAACATGAAAATTAATTCCCTATGCTTTATCCTCTGAAACATAAGTGACCTATTTTTGCGGTATTACTGTTTTTTTTTCCAGTAGTCACAGTTTTAATCCTTTCCATTATGTGTGTGTGAGGCAGAGGAACAACAGAGACATTTTTATGGGAGTCTTAGTTTGGGTGCAGGCAGTGCAGGTTGAAATCTACTGACAGTGGGACAGTTGGAATGACCTTATGGGGAGTAATGAGTCAAGGCTTCCAGATGTGTTCAGAAGTGAGTCACTTTCTCTCTTTGCAGGCAGATGACTCAAAATGCCCCCAATTAAACATGAATTTCTCTCTGTTTTCTTTCTCTCTGTGTTTCAAGCAGCTGGGAGCGAACATCATGTGTCAATCGAGCACAGGGACGTTTCTCTGGACCCTACAGTCCTCACAGTAACTCCTGGTATGAGAGACAGAGCTGGGGTTAAAGAGGCGTCTCCTGGAGCTGGTCCTGACGTGGAACTCAGGCGCTGGCCTGAGGGCAAAGTGTTTGCCGAGGCGAAAACAGCAGTCTGGACAGAAACACGTGAAGAAGTGGGCGCAGGAGCACATGGAAAAGTCTTTGCAGAGGCTGGGATTATGACAGAAACTCAAGCTTGGGCTGAAGGATGGAGGCCAGCAGACACGGATGATACGCTGCCAAGCGTGCCCGAAGTTCCAGCTCATATGCTGGTCCAGGAAAAGCTGAGGATGGGTGGAGAGGTCCAAAGGGAGCAGGCGGCCCTGTCATCTGTTCTCTCCATGCTGACAGAGTCGGCAGAACTGCACACTGCAGCAGTCCGAAAACCTTTGGGGCTGCTCTCCAAAGCAGCTTGGTCTAGGAGCTCTTCTTCATCATCCAAGGCCTTATCTTCGTCCACAATGAAAGCATCCACTCTGCCCTCCACTCCCTCCTCTCCACCCAGTAAAAAACTGAGTCAGACTACAGCATCAATCAACATATCTGTGGCTTTCGGAAACAACGGCTCTTCAACTAACTACAGTTTGGGTGGGTATTCGACTTTCAGACGCCTGCCAAAGGTTTTAATTCCACTCATTCGTCATTCACAACCACATAGCTCAGTTTATCGCAGTGGGAGTTTATGACAGACCAACAGGCAGGAGTGTAGGTTGCAAAGTGGAAGAAAAAGCTTTTATTGTGTTAAACACGTTGAACTGACAGTTAAAAAATATGGCAATCATTTGTCTTATTAAAAATCAATCACAGTCTTTCACTTCAGAATGGATGCATCTGCAGTCCTTGTATACAGACTGCTGCTCTGTGAAGGCCTCAGAGGTTAGCTACACAACATTAATGACAAAAATTCACAGAAAAATAATATTTACCCACTTTAACACTATTGTTTTATGTTAAAGTAACTAAAGATGCTTGAATAGATCCAACAAACACAGCAGATATGGTCAGAGATAAGGTTGTGGAAAGGTTTAAAAGACAATACGGTTTTCGAACAATATCTCAATCTTCATTGGTGTAATGGATCACTGTTTGATCCATCTTCTAAGATACAAAGAGTTTGAGTGACCTGTAAACTTACCAAGGAACAAACATCCATCTAAATTGACAGGCTGAACCAGACAAACATTTTTTCATTGAAGTAACTCTGACGACGTTAAAGACACTGTTAAGCAGAGCTGATTGTTTTCCAGACATCCAAAGTCTCTCAGAAGTTCCAGGAGTCTCCCTGATATAGATAGTTGTTCATGGATGTCCGCGAGTCGGATAAATTGGCCCGGATTTTAAACTATGCGAGTGAAAGCGAGTGCAGGCAATACAATAAATCATGCATCATGTGTGGATTATGACTACTTCGATTGCGCAGTCACGAAAAGAAAAGGGGGTGTGGGGAGGAGGTTGCTTGTGAAACCTGTGCATATCTGTTGGTGTTCGATAAGCATCTCCCTGAAATGAGTTTTTAGAACCTGGGATGTTAGGATGTTTTCATCTCTCAGAGAAAAACCAAACGAATAAACTGCAGAGTTTAAGCGAACTGTCACAGAATCAGTTATTAAAGCTGAAATCGAAGTTAGCTCCTCCCGGTCAGTGAGTTGAGCACTTGCACTTGTCCCGCTCTCCCTCTGTACTGTTTACCAGACTAACTCACCAGTTCAGAAGAAGAAGAAGCAGCAACCTCTCTGCACCTTCTGAGACCCTCCGCTTCCTTAAATCGTCACCAGAGCTCAAAAGCCTGACTGATGTTCACCCTCGTTTTGCTTTCTTCTGAAGAATCCAGTTCTAATCTGGATCTACCACCATCTGGCAGCACCTGAGCTTCGTCTCAAGTGACGTCGACCTGCTAGTAGGGCTTGGCAATTAATTTAATTAGCAAAAATTCAATTCTATACAGTTTATTTATGTAGCACCCATTCACAATATGTCATCTCAAGGCACTTTAAAGATACAATTCAACCAGATCATACAGTCAAACTCAAGTTTCAGATTCAGATTCAAAGTTTTCTATCTAAGAAAAACCATTTGATTGCATCAAATCATTGACCTGAGGGCAATCCCTCAAAACAAGCCTGCTTGTAGCGACAGTGGAGAGGAAAAACTCCCTTTTAACAGGAAGAAACCTCCAAGAGGACCAGGCTCAGTGTGAGCGGCCATCTGCCAAGGCCGACTGAGGTCCAATGAGACAGAAATAGCCATACAGATATACAATATAATCGCAATTTAGAAAAATTTACAAATCACAGAGGCACTCAATTTTTAGTTACAATACATTAAAAATATTTAAGACACTTAAGTTCTCCCTCTAGCCCTTCAGGGGACAGTAAAACGATTAAAGTGGGTAAGTTGAGTTGCAGCTAGCACCTAGATCTATGCATTATAGCAGAAGTTAGAACATTTTCTTGCATATGTTACAGCAAAGTCCTGCAACACTGGACTTTGGACAATCAGGCTTTCAAGGGCGGGAAAAAGCTGAAGGAAAAGCTGAAGTAAAACATCAACGTGCTTGTGCTTAGTGAAAAGGAAAATCGCAATAAAATTACAATTGCAACACTGGGTGAAAACAATTTTAGGAAAAATCCTTCAGCCTTACCTGCTATTCCTATTACAGCAGAATCTGTTGTTTTGATTTTGGCGTCTTAATCAGAAGTAAATTTTTATGTATTTCAGACCCTTTTAAAATTGATAAAACAAAATATTTAGTTTATTTTTTTCAGTAAAGAATTTTACTTTTATTCTTCACTAGTCAATGAATGTTCTATTTTTGAATAATGAACCTTTTTGATAGAGAAGTTGCAGCAATGACCTTTAACAAAGTCAAACAGAGTGATCATTAGGATTAAGCAAACTCAAGAAGTCAGTCAGTGACAACTTAGATCGGTTCAGTTACCTCAGAAAATTTTATATAAAAAATACTTGACTGCCAAATGCTCCAGGGGTGCTTTACCCCAACATAGAAGAAGCAGTTTTTGCAAAAGTAATTTGCAAAAACAGTTTTTACTGAGCATAAACATTCTGATCATGTCATTTTTTCAGCTTTATTTTCATCATTATCATCATCGCATCACTGTCACCATCATCTTTATTATTTTGCTATCACTTTAAACTTGTTGCCTTCATCATCACCATCGCCATCATCACCTTCCTGTCTCTCATCTCTCTTGGTTTGCTGTGTCGATTTCCATCTTAACCAACAGGTAATTATTACAGCATTTAATCCTTCAATGAATACCTGGAAAAAAGTAAGAGGTCATTTAAGTTCCCATCTGACTTCATAAGATATTCACCACAGTCCTATGCTGGTATAACAAAGTGCTGCTCCCCACATCGATCTGTATTTTAGAAAAATATTTTTTTTCCCACATTACTCTGAAATTAACTAAAATGGATAACTGGGACTTAATAACCTACCTTTTATTAGTCTCGCTCTCATTTTGACACATCTCTATTATTGCACCTAACAGTAACACACCAACAAGTACCACAATCAGATATTCTGGGAAATATACATTTAAAAACTGAGGTGCATTATTTTTGGGTTGTTGGTCCAACTGTTTTATTTGCTGTACTACCTGCCTGTATCATGCTTTTATCTTTACTTCCTTCTATTCTGCCTCAAGTTTTCTTCTATTTTGTTGTTTTATTCATATAAACCACTTTGAGTTGTCTGTTTACTAAATTACGCTATAGATATAAATGTGCCTTGCCTTGAAAAAGATGGATTTGAGAACTAATTTAGGAAAAAAGAAGAAACTTCAAATTAAACATTTCAGTTCACTTTAACTAAAATACTTTATCAATCCAAAAGTGAGATTAAATGTTATTTGCAGATTAATTAAATTGCAGCCTTTTTTTTTTTTGACAATTAATGTACAACTGTAAGATTCCGGAATATTTAAAAGTGTTTTATACCAATTTATCTTTGTTCTCTTTTCTCTACAAAATGTTCAGGACCTATAAAGAGATGTAGTAGTAAAAGATGGAGAAAAATGAATTCATAGAAATCCCTCAATTAAGAGTCTTTGTCCTTGATAGAGATATTTTAAGGTCATTTTTTTTCTTTTCTAAATCCTAATCCACGGCTCATTTATAGGTAAAGGAATTAGTGTGATGTGTGCTGCATATACTTCACTAAGTAGCTTTAAGGCACAGAATATTTCATCAGGATTACAAGCTTTATATTTTCGTATTGGGATTTTTCTCCACTTTACTACCTCAGTGATGTTGAAGTGCACACTGCAGTTTGCTGTTTGTTTTGTTTGGTCCGAAACAAGAGTTTCAGCAGGACAGTCTTTTACTGGATTATCTTATATCACATCTGATGCTAACACAGTGTGATCATAAGATAGGCTTACACAGTTCTTTGTGCATGTACATAAATTAAGCTAATGTGCAGCACAGATACAGATTCAGTGAAGCTGAGCCTCAAATACTAAAACTATAACCCCCAAATATATGTTGCATGATCTCAAAGGGCAAATCAATGGAAGGCAAGGAAGGTTTATTTATATAGTACATTTCAGTGGTAAGACAATTCCTCAAAGTGGTGTACATGACAAAAATAGAGGCAATGCTAATAATTAGATATGAGTGAATCATTTAAATAAGACAAGTATGTAAAAAAAAAAATTATTAAAAAAGTCTACAGACTGCTTTATTTTAAACATTCCTGCTAACATTCCCTATTTTGAATTTCTGTATTCAGGAAAAAAAGTTTTTTTTTTTAATAACCAGTATTGTTTCTCCTTTTAGATGAAATAGTGAGCAATCTACCAGCTTGGGATCTGCCAACTGTACCTGAATCACTCCTCTCCACAGTGGGCGACCATGATATCACACTTCCCCCCAACGTCACTAGCCCTTTCTCCACCCACCAGTGGAATACCACCATGCCTGTACGTCCCAGGATCCCTGCACAGAACACAACTACAGCAGCCCCGCCCATGCAGACATCCCCATCTACAACCACCACTTCAACCGTGCCCTTTTCTACCACGAGGAGGATGGATGCAGGGCTAGAACCCAACAGTACCACACACAACACCAGCACGGACACTGTGACCAGTGGCAGCGTTCAGCTGACAACGATAACCACAACTTCACCCTCAACAACCACCCTCACTGTTAGCAGCACAGAGATAGCAACGCAGGGGACGCCAATCACTGGGAGCGCCGTAGATCCGCTTCCAAACACGACAGCTGCTGCAACAACAGAGGAAACTACAAGCCTACCAATCACAACCACTGCAACTACTCTGCCAACAACGACCTCTACAACTGCGCCACCCCCAACTACAACCACCACAACCACTGTTCCCCCAACTACTACAACCACAACCACCACCACCACTACTACCCTGGCTCCCACTACTACCACCACTGTATCGACTACTACCGCCGCCCCCACCACGACCACAACTACCACCACCACCAGGGCACCCTCCACCACTGTCCTCATCCCAGTTCCAACCACTCTGCCTCTAACATCAACCTCACAAAGTCTCTCCGCTACCAACGCAGAGGAAATGCCTCTGCCATGCAACGTGACAGAGAAGTTCTGGGTGAAAACAGGTAGGACCTTTTACAACAAATACTTAACTTTTCAAAACATAATGCTGAGATAATATCTGCAAGCAACTTGTTTTTGGACTATTGCTTCTTTTTTATTAACTTTGTTTCAAGTCCATGAAAATTGGTAGAGGGACAATAAGGCACAGCACCATTTAACTTTGACCTATGAATCATTCAGGCACAAAAATCCAAATCTAAAGACATAAAAATCAATATTTTCTTGATCAATAAGTTGACTTAGCAAATTCTGATTCTTAGGGCACAGTTATACTTGGCACACACTGGTACGTTCCACGTGGAAATTAGTCGTTTGGAAGCTCTTATACGCCGTACAACATTTCAAAATTTTCTTGATGGGCCCTTGGCTGGTAGCCTGACGTAGTCCGACTCTATTCTAGTCAGAATGAGTCTGATGCTGCTCCATAGAGCTGTGATTATGGGGCGTGTTTCGAACGAACCAGGAAAAAAAATGTCTCTGCACTCAATTGGATAGACCTACAACCAATAAGAGCAACGGAGTGCGTGACGTATGTTAAGCGACGCATAGTTGTTGTCACTAAAAATCAAAGCGTGCAGTTGCACGCCTAGAATAAAAAGATGAGCCTTGATCGCGTTTCTCTGTTCCTCTTTTAAAATTAATTTGCTGTCGATATCTTCTAGAACAGACCTAATAGCAGAATCTACACACCTCAACTCTCCAGCGGCAGCCATTGTTGTTGTCACCCAAGCGCGCTTTGGTCACGTGGTTGATTACGTTACTGTTGATCATCTGTCCATCATCGTATAAAGCCCGCCCTGACAATTTGATTGGCCCGCAAGATATTGTGCGAGCATACTCACGCTACTATTGAACAATGCCAGACCAAACTTCCCGACCTCAAACGTTGTGGGCGGGACTAAGTTCGAAATCGCACCCAGGCTACTTGGCTGGTCCCTTACAATTCCTTTTTAAACTTCAATATTTGTACTAAAATAGTCTTTCTGTCGTGATTTGCTGACATTAAGATCGAAAGAGAAGATTCACTTCCTGGTCAGACCCTGTAATTTAGTGAAAGGATGGAGTCAGAGTAAAAAGATTTTTTTTTTCCTGTGCAATTGACTCCATGGAGTGCAACAAAGATAAAATTCCACAGACAAACTCTTATTCCACTAAAAGAGTAATCCACTGTTTACTAAAATGCCTTTAAGTTGAAGATCTCTTTCAGAAACATAAAAAAAAGAAAAATTTTAATGATCTTTTTCAGCACAGGTTTATATGTCCTCATGATTCAATGGCCCCTGAGGTTCAAAGTGAGACTTTAAAGAGATTTCCAGAAAGTCTGAAAAACCTCTGATAAACAACAATAAAAAAAAAAAACTGAATTCATTCTGAATTTTGTAAACAAATGACTTATTTTATTCTAGTTACTTTAATCAGTTTTATTTGCGTTCCTTACCATTTAATAGTGTTTTTAGATCTATTTTAGAAACTCTTACCAGTTGAGAAGAAAAGCGGGAATCTCTGCGTGTCCTCTGAGCCCCGTTGCTTCCTTAAGTCAGCAGCAATGCTCAAAGCTTGACTGATGTCCAACCTCATTTTGCTTCTTTTTATTCCTGTTAGAATCAAATATTGTTTGCCGTCTCTTCACTGCATCTTGGACTTTTCCTCATTATTTTCAGAACTTCACTTGGAGTTGCTAACCAGCATATCCACATTCCTTCCATGTTTACGCTTTGCAGACATGTGTAATATCGTATCTTTGGTGAAAGGCTGTTGGTAGGGCATGCACGAAAGGCCATATTTACCAAAAAAGTTTTAAAAAGACAGCATAAATTACAATGATAACAAATAGTATGTTAGCAGGACATGGTAATTGTTCAGAAAAACTGTGTATGTTTCTGTATAAAATGAAAAAATATAATTTAAACTGACTCTGCAACCTTAAAGAACAACTTTTAGAACAGGGTTCCATATTTTATCTGGTCATATTTACCAGACCAACACTGTTAAGGAGCCGAGAATTAGAATTTCTTTGATAAAATAAAATATTATGACCAATGTGGCACATTGACACTTAATGATTAAAGTGAATTAAAAAACAGAAGGAAGATAAGAGAGATTCAGCTAATCATTTTGTTGTCGTTATATTGTTATTTTTATAGTAGAATTATGCTTTTTTGTTTAACAATATAAGTGGCTTCTGTTCCACATTAGTCTGCCTGTACTTCATGACAAATGTCCTTCTTCCTTCTGGTCCAGCAGTGAACTGGTGCTTTGAGCCAATCACTGAGACCCAGTTGATGAAAAATACCCCTGTGTTTTTATCAAGTCCACAAAACTACATCTTTGGATTATGTTTTAGAAATGCCTAATTGATTAAAAAACTACACAGAACTAAGGCTTAAACATAAAATCCATCATAACAGGAAACACTCTGTGCTTTAAACGTTTGTACACATTGATGCAGTGGGATTAGAGCTTTTATACGGTTTTTAGCACCATGTTTTACAGTTAAGTTTGTATAAAATCAACATACATCATCTAAAAATACAGTTGTGCTGATTGTTAACCTGTTTGTGATATGTTCTTGTTAATGCAAATCCAGACCAACCCCTAAACCCTTTTTTTCTTTGAATCTCCACAGTGTTGTCTATGGAGCTCCGCAGGAACCGCCTGGACCTGATCCTTAAACAGAACCTTTCAAAGGGACTGAGCTACGCTCTGCAGAGAGCCTTAAATGATTCCAAAGCCTCTGCACAGGTCAGTGTTTCATCTGCCATTGTTTTTCTTTTGTTAAGACACTCACTATTATTTTAGTAGATAGCCTTAGCCAAGTCAATGGGCTTTATTAACAAATGTGTATTCCTTTAAAGTTGATTCAGTGCTATTAAGTTCTATATTTGCTCGTTATTTTTATAAAATTCTAAACCTTTGGAAGAAGTTAAAAACAAGCAGAGAAAATTTTTCTTAAATCCAAGACTTGAAAGCCTTTTTTTTTCCTTTATCCATTTAGGTTGCTTCTGTTCAGCTTGAGCTGGGTGGTTCAAGATTAAATGAGCCCTTTGAACATTTGTGCAGAAAGTAAACTGTTGTATGAAGCCTTTTTTAGGCTAGAATTTGAAAATGAAGAGGAATTTGGCTTTATAGCTGAAAAACAGCTAAGTAACTTAATAGACAAAGGAATAGCTTACTAAAAGTATGTCAATTCTCCAGAAGTACACAATTGTAATGAAAACATCTTGCTTGTAATAAATTAAGCTCCACGTATTTGCACAGACCGAGTGGAGCTTTCTATGGTGACATTAATAAGCAATTTGACATGTTCACTATGTGAATAATTTAAAAGGATCCATGACTAGTTAAACATATTGGCCTTAATTTGTTAGAATTTCCCTATTGACTTAAAAGCTTGTGATATGTAATAACTCATAATTACTTAAAAATTGATATATCCTTTGTTATATATTATTTTCTAAGTTATTATGAGTTACTGCCAAAAAATAATATATAAAAAAGGATATATGATTTTTGAAGTAGTTATGAGTTGTAATATATCCTGTTTATTTTTCAACCGAGGAGGTTTCCATTTTTTTCACCTGTGCAATGCATGCTGGGTAGATGACTCTGTTAGGTCTTACTGGACCTACAGAGAAAAAAGGGAGGCTAACAGAAGGGTTATTTTTTCTTATCATATTCTGTTGGATATAAATTTAAACAATCCCACATTACATCACTGCTTCAAAGTGTTCATGAGCTACTACTCTTAACTCAAACTGGTTAAAACCATATAAAAATGGACTATAAAATAGAAGCAAAAAAGTTACAGCGTTTATTCCAGGTCAGGTCGTTACAGGACAGAGAAATGGATTAGTGTCGGCACAGTTGTGGGCTCAAAAACCGTCAGCGAGCGTCCGGCAAAGATTGAGCAAAGATTGAGACCTGAACAAAGTCACCTCCTCGTTCTTATACCTCATGAGTCCATGTTTTGCATCAGGTGGATGCTTAACTGTCTTTATCAGAAACTGAAACGCCATCCATGCCTTGACCTTTATGCATCTTGCTGTCAGGGTTAGTTGAGGTTTGAGGACCCAAACGCAGAGGCAGAGAGGCTGAGGAGATTTCTGGGAGTTTTAATGGGGCAAAAACAGTAAACAAAGGCAGGAATCCAAAAATCCAACTAATAATGAAAAGCAAACCAGAACTAAGGAGACATCTGGGGAAAACCAAACACGAGGAGCCAGGGAGAGACGAGGAACATACAGGTGCTGGTCATAAAATTAGAATATCATGAAAAAGTAGATTGATTTCAGTAATTCCATTTAAAAAGTGAAACTTGTATATTATATTCATACATTACATACAAACTCATATATTTCAGATGTTTATTTTGTTTAATTTTGATGATTACAAATGACAACAAATGAAAATCTCAAATTCATCATATCAGAAAATTAGAATATTACTGAAGACCAATAAAAACAAAGGATTTATAGAAATGTTGGCCAACTGAAAAGTATGAACATGAAAAGTATGAGCATGTACAGCACTCAGTATTTAGTTGGGCCTCCTTTGGCCTGTATTACTGCAGCAATGCGGCGTGGCATGGAGTCGATCAGTCTGTGGCACTGCTCAGGTGTTATGATAGCCCAGGTTGCTCTAATAGTGGCTTTTAGCTCTTCTGAATGGTTGGGTCTGGTGTATTGCATCTTCTTCTTCACAATACCCCATAGATTTTCTATGGGGTTAAGGTCAGGAGAGTTTGCTGGCCAATTAAGAACAGGGATACCATGGTCCTTCAACCAGGTACTGGTAGCTTTGGCACTGTGTGCAGGTGCCAAGTCCTGTTGGAAAATGAAATCTGCATCTCCAAAAAGTTGGTCAGCTGCAGGAAGCATGAAGTGCTCTAAAACTTCCTGGTATGTGGCTGCGTTGACCCTGGACCTCAGAAAACACAATGGACCAACACCAGCAGATGACATGGCACCCCAAACCATCACTGACTGTGGAAACTTTACACTGGACTTCAAGCAACGTGGATGAAGTGCCTCTCTTCTTTTCCTCCAGACTCTGGGACCTTGATTTCCAAAGGAAATGCAAAATTTACTTTCATCAGAGAACATGACTTTGGACCACTCACCAGCAGTCCAGTCCTGTTTCTCTTTAGCCCAGGCAAGACGCTTCTGACGCTGTCTGTGGTTCAAGAGTGGCTTGACACAAGGAATGCGACAGCAGAAACCCATGTCTTTCATACGTCTGTGTGTGGTGGTTCTTGAAGCACTCACTCCAGCTGCAGTCCACTCTTTGTGAATCTCCCCCACATTTTTGAATGGGTTTTGTTTCACAATCCTCTCCAGGGTGCGGTTATCTCTCTTGCTTGTACACTTTTTTCGACCACATCTTTTCCTTCCCTTCGCCTCTCTATTAATGTGCTTGGACACTGAGCTCTGTGAACAGCCAGCCTCTTTAGCGATGACCTTTTGTGTCTTGCCCTCCTTGTGCAAGGTGTCGATGGTCGTCTTTTGGACAACTGTCAAGTCAGCAGTCTTCCCCATGATTGTGTAGCCTATAGAACTAGACTGAAAGACCATTTAAAGGCTTTTGCAGGTGGTTTGAGTTAATTAGCTGATTAGAGTGTGGCACCAGGGGCCATCAATTTTGAACCTTTTCACAATATTCTAATTTTCTGATATGATGAATTTGAGATTTTCATTTGTTGTCATTTGTAATCATCAAAATTAAACAAAATAAACATCTGAAATATATGAGTTTGTATGTAATGTATGAATATAATATACAAGTTTCACTTTTTAAATGGAATTACTGAAATCAATCTACTTTTTCATGATATTCTAATTTTATGACCAGCACCTGTAGACCACAGCATGGGATCACAGCAAAGACAAGAAACCAACAAAGAGTGAGAGCAGAGGGGGAGAATATATAGCAGAGAGAGACAAAGGGAGGGCTAACGAGCTGACAAGGAGCAGGTGTGAGAGGAGATAACGAGGGAGCCAAGGGGAAAGGAACACAGAAGAGGGCAACAGAAAAACATGGGAACATAAATCTAGAAATTACATCAAAACTGGAATTAAACCAATAAAACTAGAAAACAAGGAACAAAGTAAAGAACAACAGAACCAAGACCATGACACTTGCCTCTTTACCCCAGGATTACACATAGCTCTCCTTTATCAGTCCGGCTCCAAGATGTGCCCATATCCTGTGTATTTTTAAAGACACGAAGCCTGTCCTGATTAGATGACCTCCGTTCACACAGTGACATCAACCATGTGAAGGAAGGCCTTCTACTCCGTCTAATCTGGCTAACAAAGTAATAATGCACATGATGTATAAATAATAAACCTAACATTATAAAAACATTTGTTGGGCTAATCCATGACATTGTCATATATTTTTATAATTTTATTTATTGCTGGCCTGTCTGTCAAGTCTACAGGCTTCTTGTTCCATCAGTCATTTGTTTTTGTTTGTTTTTTCTTCTGCTTCATTCACCTCACAAGGGCTTGTGAATGATACTAGAAAACGTTAGCTACAAGTGACTGATGTAGGCTGGGTTTGACTTGTAATGACCTGTTGAAAGTGAGGTTGAGTTTTTAGGGAGGCCATAGAGTCCTTCACCCTCCTAATACAGTTTCCTCTTGTCTCAACCTCATGGTTTCATCTTAAGCCTTTATTTTCTCCTTCGCTCTGAAATCATCTCAATGAGACTTTTTTGTGTATCCTAATATTTACATTTATCCTATTACTCCACAACCCCTTCTATCTTCCGGATAGGCTTCAACCTTTGATCCAACTAGATCGATTTTCTGCCAACATGCTTGTCTTGGCTGTCTGCTGGTTGGCTCGTTGTGGTTGTCTGCCTTCCGTCTGTCCACCTGCCTCTGTTCATCTCACTTTCTGTCTTTCTTCTATCCCCATCCGCTTGCTTTTTCTATTTTTATCCAGTTGTTTGTGAGCCTTCCCGGGGAGTGACTCAGTGTCTCTAAGCTCCACAGCACTTTCATCTACCCCCTGCTACACTCAGGCACATTCCTCGACTCTCATCTTCTCCATCTGAAAACCTAGGCTGTGATTTGATAATCAAAATGAATCTGTTGATGGCGAAAAACACAACAATGAGGTGAAAATGGTTTATGTTTGAAAAAAAGTCTGATTTCTGGTGCAGTATTGATGAACACAAACAGTCCACCATTAAACAGCATGAAATTAACGTGCAGTGATGCTTAATGTGTTGCATCATTGAACAATGTTGTTAACCATAATTGCTTACCAAACTGGGCAGGTTTACAGCTGTCATCTGTTGGCAGGGAGCAAAGGAGGTCAGTGCTGGCTGCCTGGGTTTGGTTCAGCAGTCCTCTTTAGATATGCAAAATGGGAAGCAGCTTTACCTGGGAGCCTAAAAAAGCAAAGTGGATATTTTATTTAGTGTTGGTACTCAATTTCCCCTTTCTAAAACCATGGAAAAAACAATAACCAAACAATAAAGCATACTTAGTATGCCCTGGCTCCATTCTATGTGCTCCATTGTTTATTTTCCTGATTTCTGTCAGATTGGTGTCATCATCGACATCACCAAACACGCAGTGGTGAGAGGACAGAGGTCTCATGGCTTGCAACAGGGGGGGTCAGACCAAGTTTTATTTGCCAATGGGAAGCGAGCCAAATGCTGATTATTAGCGGGTCAATCCGTGTGTGAAAAAAACGCTAATTGCAGTGGAAAAGAGGATTATGTAATGAGG